AATCATGAAAATAAATTTTGAATAAATTAAAGAACTCTTCGATAAGGCAGTAAAAGAAAGCAAGAAGGAATGACGAAATATCACATAACGCATAGTTGTAGCAAAAGAGACATTCCAAGTCGCAAGTTGCGTATTGGGGACGGTAAAATGAAGCAGTTATAGAAATTTAACTATCTGGCTTGTGTAGTAACAGACGAAAAAGTCCATATAAACATATGTCAGCAAATCCTTCGTTTTTGAGTTATTCATTTTAAAATTTACGGTAGACACTGTTAAATGTATTAGGTTGGTTAAAAAATAATGACGTAATAATGTCGTTTTTGACGTATTTTTAAGGCCAAAAAACGACATTATTACGTCATTATTTTTGCACCAACCTAATACAACCGAAGATACGATCCCAAAATAATTTGCGGGCGCGTTCCTGACACCAATACAAGGTAAAATGTTCGTATAAACATATGTCCGAAAGGCCATCATTGTACCTCAACACAGCAACTCATAAAAATATTCAAAATATCTTCCGCTTGCACCCGTCGGATTATTGACTGATCAACACGGTGTCGAATTGTTTCGCAGGACCCCATGACATATATATATATATATATATATATATATATATATATATATATATATATTTAATTTAATATGTTTATAAAAAACAATTGATCCGTAGTACAAAAACTTCCTGAGAAAAAAAAACTACCAAGACATATCACTATATTAATTGAACTAAATACTTAGTTCATGTCATGTTAACTGAAAAACATTTGTAAAAAAAGAATTTGTGTATTTACCATATTACAAAATTCATATAAAAATTCTCACTTGAAATTTAATTAGCACGTTTCGAGATTGTACAACCGTCAATAAATAGCACATTCTTAAAAAAAAACATCTTTCGGTCTACAAACGATTATTTCGTCTTCAAGTTTTAACTTAAAAGGAAAAAAAATTACAGCCTGATGATGGAGACATGGATTTTCGAAAGTACTTGCTTAACTTAAAAAAATATAGACTAGAAACATCTGACAACAGTTTTATAAATGAAGATCACATCATTCAATGGATTAACAGTATTTTAATGCATACATTATGTTTCTACTAGCGAAGTGATTTCGCCATTAATCGCATTAATATTGCTGATTGATTCTATGTATGATTATTTCTTTACATATATATATATATATATATATATATATATATATATATATATATATATATAGGGTCAGTGTACCCTGACGATCCGTGTAGGTGAAATCTAGGTATGTTTATCTGGCTCTTTAGGTTCATATTTAGATTTGGTCTATTTAGTGTATTGAGCAATTTATTTAGTTACTTTTGTTTTACTCGTTTGGGAGTTTTTTTTTTTTGACTCTGAGCTTGGATTCTGGACGATTATTTTTGCCTCAATTACAAGCCAAAACACTTAAGGTTTTTCCAGACGAGTATAACTATATATATATATATATATATATATATATATATTAATGAGCACAGACAAGGAAAAAAAACATCTATCAACCCACAATTTACAAGGATCCTTAAGAGAAATTCTGGTCGAAAACACTAAAATTCTACATAAATCACATTACCGTAAATATTTCGATATTAGAGAGGCCCTGTATATCAAACATCTCTCACCCAGTATCAACCTCACCTTATTTAACTGTGGAAATGGAGTATTAAAGTTTTTCTTTAAAATAGAAAGATGCTTACGCGAATTTCAGTCCTTTTCAACATTCGAAGGCTTACAATAAACGCTCCTATTCAAGACCATACAAAAAAAAAAAAAAAAAAAAACAAAAAAAAAAAAAAAAAAAAAACGACTTAATCAAAACACGAGGAAGAACTAACAATACCAAAAACTTTCTTGAAAATGCCTAAAGTGGGCGAAAGCACTTGGGACAAAGAAAAATAATGGAAAAGTTCTGTACTCCCTTATTTCTACAAAACAGAAAAAAACGTAAGGATGCTTGAAAATTGTTATGGTGACCTACCTAAATGGAATGAACACTTCCTCCTTCATAGATACCAAGCTGAGAGATTTCAAGGGAAACAGTCGGGACGCAGTTCTGTGACTGTTCGCAGCTCCTGTCGAACTCTCTGCCTTGGGCCGCATGGCAAAGTTTCGTCCGTGGAGGTAGACAGACCCTGAACCCGTTTATACGGGTTCTAAGGGAATATTTTTCGACGAGCCTACGGGATCGGAGAACCCACGGTAAACTCGGCCTTGTGCCACATACATCCCGCGTGGGGGGACTGTTAAATATCGACAGTCGAGACACAGTTCTGTGACTCTTCGCAGCTCCTGTCGAACTCTCTGCTTTGGCAGTGAGGAACCCAGACGAGGCTGTGCCGAAAGGCAGAGTCTCGTCCGGGGAGGTAGACAGATCTGAACCCGTTAATGCGGGTTCTACGGTGATTTTTTGGGGGCCGAGCCTACGGGCTCAGAGGACCCACGTTAAACTCGGCCTTGTGCCGCATGTATCCCTCGTTGTGAGGGCTGTTAAATATTGACAGTCGAGACGTAGTGTAACCTGACAGTTTGGACGGACACTTTTATCTGCTGACTAATAACACTCTTATTTTGTATATATATATATCTGTTATTTCAATACACTTATTCCACCTACCTTTTCCTTTCCGTGTCTTTCTTTCTGGTCCATAACAGGCCACAACAAAAATAAAATAATAAAAAAAAATCGCAATTTTATATATATATATATATATATATATATATATATATATATATATATATATATATATATATATATGTATAATAATATATATATATATATTAATATATATATATATATATTAATATATATATTAAAATTTAGATATTTATCAAACCTTAACCTCCCAAATATGCACGTTAAAGTAACGCGAACTGACAGCGTCTAAGAATTTGAATGAAACCTGTCTTGTAATTTATTGGGGTCTTCCTTTAATGTAGTCCTTATCGCTCACCCCTTAACCACTTTATCTAGAGACGAGACGCGTTAAATTTGAGCAACATCCAGCCGACACACTGGGGTTAAAATAGGAAACTAAAATGATACATATGACACACTCATATCCTCTCTCCCACCTCACTTCCTCACTTCGTTAACTTTGCGTATACTTGATGAGGTCCGTAAAAAACGTGTGAATTTCTTTTCATTTTTCATTTCAGCTTTTGGAAGTAAAGTCTGATGATCCAGAACCCTGTTAAAGGGGTTATGGTGAAATAGCTTATTACATGGAATCTTAACGTGGTCTGTCTTTTATTCAAACAAAATATATATATATATATATATATATATATATATATATTTTATCAAAAATAATTTTACAAACGTTGGCGCAGGTTCCTCACACCAAAACAAGGAAAAATGTCCATGCAAACATATGTCCGCAAATCCTTCGTTTTTGAGTTATCAAGTTTACGGTAGATGGAACTTTGTTGCATATAGACTAGGCTATATTTGTCATTCGTGTACATCTGTGACTCGTTTGTCTTCAACTTTTAACGTGTGTGAGTTAACTGAGAAGTGTTCCGTTTAACAATGGTAAGATATTCATATCGTGAGCAGGCAGATATGATTTTTATATACGGCCGCGCGAATGGTAATGGACGCGAGGTTGCACGGCTGTATCAGATTGCGTTTCCGGACCAAAGGCAGCCGAGTCATTCAACCTTTGCAGCTGTTTATCTTTGCGATGCTAAGAGAGGATCCGTGGCACCACAAACTCTATATCGAGGAAGACCGAGATCCGCTCGTTTGCCTGACCAGGAAAAATACATTCTACAGGCTGTCGGAGACGATTCAGTTATGAGCACACGTCAAGTGGCCCTAGCATGTTGTACATCTCATAGTACCACATGGAGGGTACTTCAAGTGAAGCTCCTGTATCAGTGTCATTTGCAACGTGTATGGAGTCTGATCCCACACCACGAGAGAACTTTTGCCGATGGTTTATTGCACAAACTGCCTATCCGTTGTTTGACTTTTCAGTCTTACGGATGAGACAACATTTGGAAGAGATGTAATAACAAATTTACACAATTAACATTTGTGGGCGGATCGGAATCCCCATGGTACAAGACACCAGCATCAGTTTACGATTCATGAGTAGACTGGAATTGTAGGTGACTGTCAGGTAGGTCCATATGTTCTCTCAGCACGTCTTACAGGAGCTGTCTACAGGGAATTTATTTCTAACACACTTCTAGACCTGCTAGAGGATGTACCCCTGCTAATACGAAAACGCATGTGGTTCATGCATGATGGGGGCTCCACCACATATTAGTCACATTCTTCGCGATGAACTGGTTGATATCTACCATGAAAGATGGATAAGTAGGCGCGGATCTGTTCCATGGCCTGCACGTTCTCCGACCTTCAGATTTTTATCTGTGGGGCCACCTAAAACAATTGGTTTATGCAGCAGACATTAATAATACAGAGACGCTTTACCAACGTGCCGTGGGGGCCTGCGAAGCAATTCGATACCGTGTGGGAGTATTTGAAAGAGGTCCACCAGTCAATAATCCGACGGGTGAAAGCGGAAAATACTTTGAACATTTGTTATAAGTTGCTGTGTTGAGGTAAAACGATGGCCTTTTGAACCTATGCTTATATGATTATTTTACTTTGTTTTGGTGTCAGGAACCTGCCCCCAAAAGTTTGTAAAAGTATTTTTGGATTGTATCCTGGATTGTCCATTTAACTGTGTCTACCGTAAATTGTAAAATTAATAACTCAAATACGAAGCATTTGCAGACATACGTTTATATGAACTTTTGGCCTTGTTTTGGTGTGAGGAACCCGCCCCAAAATTTATAAAAGGATTTTTGATACACACTGTATATGTAAAAATATATTAACGTGAACATTGACATCAACACCAGGCGGCGACAATCTGTTTCATGATTAAATACAATTGTCAGGCCTGAATGAGAAGATGCAGGTAAAGGCTGACAGAAGAGCAGATACATGAGATAAGGGATAATTTTAGTTATATTGGAAGGGATAAGGGTAAGAATGAGAAGATACAGGCAAGCAGTGAGAGAAGAGCAGAGGCATGAGATAATGGATAATCTGAATTGTATTGGGAGGGATAAGGGTAAGAATGAGAAGATACAGGCAAGCAGTGAGAGAAGAGCAGAGGCATGAGATAATGGATAATCTGAGTTGTATTGGAAGGGATAAGGGTAAGAATGAGAAGATACAGGTAAGCAGTGAGAGAAGAGCAGAGGCATGAGATAATGGATAATCTGAATTGTATTGGAAGGGATAAGGGTAAGAATGAGAAGATACAGGCAAGCAGTGAATGAGAGAGAAGATAAGCAGAGGCATGAGATAATGGATAATCTGAGTTGTATTGGAAGGGATAAGGGTAAGAATGAGAAGATACAGGCAAGCAGTGAGAGAAGAGCAGAGGCATGAGATAATGGATGATCTGAGTTGTATTGGAAGGGATAAGGGTAAGTATGAGAAGATAGAGGCAAGCAGTGAGAGAAGAGCAGAGGCATGAGATAATGGATAATCTGGTTGTTGGAAGGGATATAAGAATGGACAGGGATAAGGCATGGATAAGAATGAGAAGATACAGGCAAGCAGTGAGAGAAGAGCAGAGGCATGAGATAATGGATGATCTGAGTTGTATTGGAAGATAATGGATAAGGATAAGAATGAGAAGATACAGGCAAGCAGTGAGAGAAGAGCAGAGGCATGAGATAATGGATGATCTGAGTTGTATTGGAAGGGATAAGGGTAAGAATGAGAAGATACAGGCAAGCAGTGAGAGAAGAGCAGTGGCATGAGATAATGGATAATCTTATTTGTATTGGAAGGGATAAGGGTAAGAATGAGAAGATACAGGCAAGCAGTGAGAGAAGAGCAGAGGCATGAGATAATGGATAATCTGAGTTGTATTGGAAGGGATAAGGGTAAGAATGAGAAGATACAGGCAATCAGTGAGAAAAGAGCAGAGGCATGAGATAATGGATAATCTGAGTTGTATTGGAAGGGATAAGGGTAAGAATGAGAAGATACAGGCAAGCAGTGAGAGAAGAGCAGGCATGAGGGCATGAGATAATGCATAATCTGAGTTGTATTGAGGAAGGGATAAGGGTAAGAATGAGAAGATACAGGCAAGCAGTGAGAGAAGAGCAGAGGCATGAGATAATGGATAATCTGAGTTGTATTGGAAGGGATAAGGGTAAGAATGAGAAGATACAGGCAATCAGTGAGAGAAGAGCAGAGGCATGAGATAATGGATAATCTGAGTTGTATTGTTGAAAGGGGGATAAGGGTAAGAATGAGAAGATACAGGCAAGCAGTGAGAGAAGAGCAGAGGCATGAGATAATGGATAATCTGAGTTGTATTGGAAGGGATAAGGGTAAGAATGAGAAGATGCAGGCAATCAGTGAGAAAAGAGCAGAGGCATGAGATAATGGATAATCTGAGTTGTATTGGAAGGGATAAGGGTAAGAATGAGAAGATACAGGCAATCAGTGAGAGAAGAGCAGAGGCATGAGATAATGGATAATCTGAGTTGTATTGGAAGGGATAAGGGTAAGAATGAGAAGATACAGGCAAGCAGTGAGAGAAGAGCAGAGGCATGAGATAATGGATAATCTGAGTTGTATTGGAAGGGATAAGGGTAAGAATGAGAAAATACAGGCAAGCAGTGAGAGAAGAGCAGAGGCATGAGATAATGGATAATCTGAGTTGTACTGGAAGGGATAAGGGTAAGAATGAGAAGATACAGGCAATCAGTGAGAGAAGAGCAGAGGCATGAGATAATGGATAATCTGAGTTGTATTGGAAGGGATAAGGGGGTAAGAATGAGAAGATACAGGCAAGCAGTGAGAGAAGAGCAGAGGCATGAGATAATGGATAATCTGAGTTGTATTGGAAGGGATAAGGGTAAGAATGAGAAGATGCAGGCAATCAGTGAGAAAAGAGCAGAGGCATGAGATAATGGATAATCTGAGTTGTATTGGAAGGGATAAGGGTAAGAATGAGAAGATACAGGCAAGCAGTGAGAGAAGAGCAGAGGCATGAGATAATGGATAATCTGAGTTGTATTGGAAGGGATAAGGGTAAGAATGAGAAGATACAGGCAAGCAGTGAGAGAAGAGCAGAGGCATGAGATAATGGATAATCTGAATTGTATTGGAAGGGATAAGGGTAAGAATGAGAAGATACAGGCAAGCAGTGAGCGCAGAGCAGAGGCATGAGATAATGGATAATCTGAGTTGTATTGGAAGGGATAAGGGTAAGAATGAGAAGATACAGACAAGCAGTGAGAGAAAAGCAGAGCAGAGCCATAAGATCATGGATAATCTTAGCTGTATTGGAAGGGATAAGGGAGAGAATAGGAGGACACAGTGATAGGCCATCGAGTTCCCTTGCTCATAAAATCTCGATTTCAATGAGTGTTAAAACTTTTTCTTATTTGTATGGTATCGCCCGATGCATATTTGCATTCTAGTTGGTTCAACGATTCTTTTTCTTCTGAGCTGAAAATTCCAACCCGCCATTTCTAATGGTTTCACGTTGAGGCACTGTATGATTAATGGTTAGCGGCTCGGATTGAGGAATCGGAGTGCCGAGTTCGAATTCCATTCTACATACTAATATCTTTCGGAAAGGTATGAATCCATCTCTTCTCCCCCTCCCACCAGCGATAGGTAAAAAAGCAGGATAGATAGGGAACCAGTCTAGGAGAAGGAAACTCTGAATTCAAAACCACCTGCAGGCTTGAAGTCCCTGCCTCTTCAGGCAAAGGCTAGAAGAACGTTGTCCTCGGTATGACGATAAACTACATCCGGCAGCAAGGCCTCTGATCGGGAGGTTTTGAGGAGTGTGGATCCATCTCTCTATTGCTGGTGTTCCCAAGTCCACTCACACCAGAGGTGGTAGCACCTGTTAGAGTCCCAGTTATAGGCAAATAGAGAAGCCCTATACTAAAACACTAAGAAAGTATAAAAATACATTTTTATAGTAAAAATACCAGAAATACATTAAAAAAAATAGCAATAGATTTGACTCTCGACAAAAATCCTCCTTACAAAAATACGTCAGCCTAAGCTACAAAGTGATTTCTTACAAAGAACACATATTCTATTCATACGAACCTATCCTAAATATATGGTCGATGTCAAATAACCCATTGAAGTGTCGATATGCCGTAAAACAAAATAAACCAAAACCCTGCTCTGCAAACTGAATTTTTACAAAGAATATATATCCTATTCATACGAACCTATCCTAAAAATCTTGTCGGCCTTAAATAACCCAGTGAGTGTGATATGTCGTAAAACACACCCTAGAAGAAGGTAACTTCAAAAACAAATTCATCTCTGAAAGAAGGGACGCAATAACCTCAACATCCCCGGTGAAAAACAAAAACAAAAAAAAAAACAAAAACGGCAGGACATTGCAATATTCTGCTTTGAATGTCTCCATGAACCACATTTGTGAGATGGAAGGGAGTGGTGACCACAGCGGCGGCGCAAAATACTCTAACTGAATAAAATGGATGAATGGTAAAGGACTTTTGGAGAAAATATCGGATGAATTGACAACGGAAATTCTTTTACGGATTTCCAACCGTTCTTCTGTCGAAAGAGAATAAATAATTTCGGTTGTGTTTATCAAATTTATTCTTCTAAAAATAAAATACAATTGTATTTTATCCAATTGTATATTCGCCAATAATTTCAATGACTTGTTGGCCCTTATCAGGCAGCTCTTCGACACTTGATGCGAAAAAAGATTACGACGAAATCTTGAATCACGTTTTTATGACAGAAAGTTCTTCCCCACCCCCAAAGCATTTTGCAGCGATGAAGAAAAAAAAAATGAAAAAACAAAGGAATAATAATCCGTTCGTGGGGAGTCAGGCGAATTATGGTGGATTGGGTAGAACAGACCAACTGAGTGCCCAAACTTTTTTCTGTTTTATGCAGGGTGCAGCAAAATGATCTGTAGATTCAACAGAAAAAACAGAAAAAATGTTTTAATTTCGAAATGTATATAGTGGTCCGAAAGTCTTGTCACCCGACATAATATTTCAGATGGCTGACACGAACTCCTACACAAAAATGATTCTGTTCATACAGACCTTCTCGATGTGTGACGGCGTCAATGAAAGTGAATAAACTGAATCCAGTACATGAGCTTTGTATTACTTGTTCTTCTATTGTTTTCATTATACGAGGGTCATTCAATAAATAAGGTGAATTTTTCGGTATAAGGACTTCTAATACAGATAGAAGCTTACTTTATTTTACTTATTTTTTTTTTTTTTTGTTTTACTTCTTTTTCACACGGATTTAATTTCTTTTGCAGATTAAAAAAAAAAACTTTGAGAGTTTTGGCGATTAAAAATGATGGCCGACAATGAAGCATGCTCCAGGATTGAACAGCGGTCAGTTCTCAAGTTTTTGGTTGTTGAAGGGTGCAAACCAGTTGAAATTCATAGGAGAATGTAAACTGTGTATGGTGCCACATGTTTCAGCCCAAAAATGTCTACAAGTGGGCTAAATTGTTTAAAGAAGGACGGAGCAGTGTTGAGGAGGAAGACAGGCCTGGGAAGCCTACAGAAGTGAGGTCTCCTGAGGTGATCGAATCAGTCAATGACCTCATTCATTCTGACAGAAGAACTACTGTGAACTGCTGAGGCAGGTCAAGAAAGACATAAAGAACAAACGCAGGGGTCATCAGTCAGAAGGAGTCATCTTGCATCATGACAACGCAAGGCCTCACACAGCAACCCAAACGGTGCAGACCATCAACGAGCCGGGCTGGGAACTGCTCCCTCATCCCCCTTACAGCCCACACCTTGCCTCTTCAGACTTTCACCTGTTTGGTCCCTTGAAAGCGTTCATGAGAGGCATGAAGTTTAAAAGTGACGATGAAGTCAAAAGTGTTGTAAGCGAAAGTGAATAAATTGAATGCAGTACATGTGCTTTGTATTACTGTATGACTTATTGTTCTATTATTCTCATTTTTGGGTAGGGGGTGACAGAGCTTTCGCCCCCCCCCCACCTGCAGATGGAACTCCCTTCTGGAGTAGAAAATGAAATACTAAATATCGGAGAAAATGGTGGAACTTCCACGTAGTGTAATGGTTAGCAGGATTGTATCGCTAGATTACGATTACGTAGTGAGTTCGATCCTCACTGAGTACCACATATTTTCAGCATTGTGCCATATCTAAGCTACGCTTGGAAAATCACTATGTTGATGACAGGGGCACCTCGAGGCGATGTAATGGTTAACAAGCGTGTCTCGCTAAAACAATTACGACTAAATAGTAGGTTCGATCCTCACTGTTTAGGAAGAAAATAGTAATTTATGGTTCCTTAACCATAACACTACATATTTTTTCTAGATGTCGCCATAACTTTATTGCCTGGCTTGAATTTCATTAATATTATGTGATGTGAATGCAATTTCAATACCTTCATTATAGAGATCAAGGAAATTATTCCCGGCCATTGCAGTGTACACCATTTTGTTCTTACACACCTTCCCCGCCTTTTGAACAGGAATAGTGTTTTATGTCTTGTTTGCTGTTCAGGATTGGATTTCCGGTTCTTTCTCCTAAATTCTTCTTGTTCTCTTAAGTCCTTGCGTCTTAGTGGCATTATCGCCTTGCTTGGTGGGGGGAATGTTAAAAAAAAACTTCTTGCGCAACAGCATGGAATAATTGTCCATCCAAAAAAATGTCTAATATTCAAAAACCACTAAACTAATTGAGTTTCTTTTTTCCAACTTTTCAGATAATATGTTCAGCAATCTTGACACCATTTGTCATAAGCACCACTGAAAGACCCTTGAGTTATTCAGCTAGAAAGAGAACAGGTTAAAATAATTTTGTGTCAGCCCTAATATGTCTTCCCAACTGAGCAATGGTGAGAGGAAAAAGGTCATTCAGGCCTCCAGTAATGAAAGTAAGATTCATACTCTGGCTTCCATATTCAAAGTTCATTCAAGAACATCAAGTAGACGGTGAATAAATTTAAAAAAGACGGAATATTAAAAAGGGAAACTGGATCAGGGGATGACAATAGCAAGAGGAATTATTATCTCAAATTCAACATTCTTATTGTTCAAAGTATAATCCAATAGTGTTATGAAAACTCCGGAGAATTCCAGTAAGATATCTTTAATCATTTCTAAGATACAACGGTTCAGAGCTTAATCTAACAATTGGACAATTTTGCTGTTACACAATTTGGACAATTTTGCTGTTACACCCGATATAGGAAGTCCTCAAGGCACGTGATTTCTTGTTAAGTTTCTGAGCTTCTCATTGGCTTCATTCAACCTGAAGAATAAAGGAAATCAGATGGAATTCAAAGTCGGTTTTGTGATGATTGGAATCTTTGGGATGATACCCAATTCCAATTCTATATATTCGAAGTTCAAGCAACACTAAGACGAATACACGATAAATCTCCGCTTAGAAGCGACATTAAGAAGCTGTAAAAGGACGACTGTGTAGCTCCAGCTCAGATATGACAGTAATGCTCCATTTTTGGTTTGAACTGACTCTCTTTAAGGATAGGTCATGGCAGGAAGAGCCTGTTGCTTTCTCGGGGGGGGGGGGTACAAAGCAACGACGATCTTTCCAGTTACTTTACTTGTTCCACTTGAGGCCTGGAATGACCTTTTGGGATCCAGTAGACATTTCAGGCGAGGAGCCTCATTAAGTGTGCCAACTTTTCATCAGAACTAGAGAAAATTCAGAAACTGCATCGGTGATGATGAAAAGCTACTAGTTTGTGTAACTTCATCGAATTGCTTAAAATTAGGGATTTGTAATTCGTACAGTCAAAAGTCAAAAGTCTAGAGTACCCAAATCGACACCGACGCAAGACAAGCATGAGAAAAAGAATTATAAAGAAACCCCACCGATATTAAGACTCTTTGGAATGGCACAGGATCTTGAACTTATGTCTTGGAGACATGTCTTCAAAGCATTATCTTGAAGAGAAAGCCTGAAACTGTTATTCTATCTTTATTTAATCGACAAGATGACGTTAGAAA